TGGTGGTGGTGGTGGTGGTGGTGGTGGTGGTGGTGGTGGTGGTGGTGATGGTTGTGTTGAAATTAATATTACAGGATAATGAAAGAAAAAATTAAAAGATTTAAGTTTAAATGAGAAAATGATAGAAACAGCCAGGTAATACACACTTCAAGCAATGACGCTAAGGGAGACAATCACAAAACTACATTAGACTAAGGATCTGCTTTCCTGAAATGCTTTTGGAACAGACAAAACCATAGATCCAGGGGAGTGGAGGACAGGAGCCACTGTTTAAAATTACAGTGCTCCAGTCCTACTGGAAGAAGACATGTCACGATGGATGATGTTTATGGCCGTGTGACATTACAGATGTGTTTAACTATCACCCATGAGCTGGAAACGCTGAGATACACTGTAATCCCAGCACTTGGCAGACTGAAGCAGCGGCAGCATGAGTTTGAGGCCAATCTGAGCTTTATAGTGAGACCCTGTCTCAAAAATAAAAATAAAACCAAACAAGCAAACAGAAGTGCACACACTTAAACATAAGTATACACATTTACACATGTTATAAATATATACACCATCTGAAATCACTGTACACAAAAATGGTAAATTTTAAGTTCTGTGTATTTTACAACAAAGATATTGGGAAACAGATTGAGGTGAAATAGACAATTATGTTCTTGTATGGAGAAAATCTTTCAGACAACCTGGAATACAGAAAAGTGAAAGACTTCAAAAGGCAAAAAAAAAAAAAAAAGTTAAAAGTCAAAAGACAAACAATATTGAAATCTTCACAACATAAAAAGCAGCAGACTCCTAACATTTCATGAAGAATTTCAGGAAAGTAATAAAAAAAAAAGCAGAAAACAGGAGCGAGCATTCAGCAAAGTGCACAAAGGCTGTGTACAGAAATTTGCTTAAGGTGAAAAGGTGTTCAGCTTGGCCTTGCTAATAATAAAGGGTGGGAATTTAAGCCTTACTCAAAAAATTAAGCAGTCAGAGAATAGCAAACTTGGGCAAGGGTGTGGGGAGATTGAACTCGTCACAGCTTAGGGGTGGGAATGTGTACAATTTGTTTGTGTGTACCCAAAGCTTTTTTAAAGAAAAAGGCCACTCTTTGATCAGCCATTTTCCTGAGGAAGTCGTTATGTCCCTGTGCACAGAGTTGTTACTGGCTGAGTGAGGACTCACTTGATAGCTAACTGTTCTTAAGCAACCTTTCCATCTAATAGAATGGTTACATGATTGCTGGCAGACCCTACAGGCAGGCATGCTCAACAACCATTAAAAAATAATGTAGAAGAATGTTTATCGGCATGTGAGAAGATTCACGATATGCTTTGAAGTGGATAATGTAAGTTACAAAATAGGACACGGGATATATCACGTGGAGGGTGGTCACCTCTGAGAGGCCGGTCCTGCCTCCTCTGGGCAGTCTACGCTGCCCAAAGCTTCTTCATAAACAACCACTGCTTCGGAGTCAGACTACACATAGTAAGTGCTTTTCTGAAAAGATTTACTGGTGTGTGTGTGGGGTGTGTGTGTGTGTGTGTGTGTGTGTGTGTACTTGTGTGTTTCAGTGTATGCATGTGCACCCGTTGTGTGCAGGTGCCTTTGGAGGACAGAAGAGGGTGTTGGATACCCTGGAACTGAAGCTATAGGCACTTGTGGGCTGACCCACGTGGGTGCCAGAACCAAGCCTTGGTCCCCTCTGTAATCCCAGCCAGTGCTCTTAACCACTGAGCCAAAACTCTCCACCTCACACACCTTCAGACTACTCGTATTTGGAAGTGAATAAAAACTTTCAAGAATAAATGCTGGACTCCTAGGCAGTCTGGGTTTCTCTGCTTTCTCCCCAGAACATTACCAGCTATCACTCCTGCCTCATGGCTCATGACCATCGGCCCAGCCTCTCTTCCTGGCTCTCCTCAAGCCTCACTATGTCATTTCCAGGGAGGGAGGACAGGCACACAGGTGCTCATTTTCTTTGACCCCATCCCTCCCTCTCCTTCGGGTCTGCTATAACCAAGCCGCTTGAGGGCTCATGACGCTGTGACCACAGGGACCTGTCAGATATAATGCGTGGCCCAGGACATCACCTCCTGCAGCTCCCATTAGCAACCCATAGCCCCCATTAGCTATGCGGGGCCTGTGGAGCCATATGTCCAAATGCCATACCATGAGTCCTCACCTGAAATGCTCCCCGTGTCCTATTCTGGTCACGCTTTGATACCTACTTGGGTCTCTTCTGGGTCAGGACCCTAGTTCCCTACCCCAAACATGCAAGTCACATCTGCAAGTAACCTTACTACTGATACGCATCATACAGGGTCCTGATCCTCAGAGCTTGCAGGTTCTGAGACCGTCATGTCCCCTCCCTCCTGTCCCCTCCTACCATCCCCCACAACTCCTGAAGGCTGCCCTCCAGAAAGGGGAAAGGAAGACTGCTACCACGGAGACTCAATTCGGTAGTCCCTCCCACCTGTGACAGTGCATAAAGGTAGATTGTGTTTCTCTTGTGTGCAGCCAACCCCCTCTAGGAGAGCTTCCACCCCAGCTCCTGTCCCAGTAGAGCCACTGGTGTAAGCAGCCCGCTCACCTCTCCTGGCTAGGGACAGACAGATTTTGTGGTGAACACTCACATTCTTGGCCCAGGAGTCACCTGCTAATTACGTCTTCGAATACTGTTGCTTTTCTCTGTAAAGCATTTTTTCCTCCCAGGAGGCTGTGCCCTGCCACGGGTGGCCTCCAGGATACCTTCTGGCCAACAGGTCTCAGTTTCAGCAACAGTTCTGCCAAACACTGCAAGAGAAGAAGCAATATCAGATGCGTTGGGGCCGTGATTCAGAAAAGCAAGCTTGTCTGGTGCAGAGAGCGCTGCCACCAAGCAAGCTTGTAGAGGCAGCCACCGCCCCTTCTGCAGACGATGGTGACTTCCTGGCCCTTCTGTGGTGGCAGCCCCGAAGGGCAGGGCCTGGCACTACCAGGCAATGACTGCCTGAGGCATCTAGTGAGTCCCAGAGCCCAAGGACTGGGGAGAGGGCGGGGATGTCTCCAGTTATCCAGTTAGTGTTTAAGGGACAGGAAATTCCTAGTGGCAAGATGACCTCATGCTGACAGGGCTGGGGCGAGTCAACCTGCCCGTGGCTCATTGGGGAATGCCAGTATCTTGTCCCAGGACAAACAGAGGCCACAGCCCACCAGTTCTTCTGAGGCAGGCAAGCCAAGGAGGCGTCTCCAGATTCTTGGAGAGATAAAAATCTTTCAGATCTAGATGCCTGATTCCTACACAAATAAGCAGCCCCTGGGCCAGCCCTTTCTCTGTAACCCTACCCCAAGGTGGGTGCCTGAGAAACCGGACCCCACTCCCACAAAGCTATAAATCACATGAATGATTTCTTCATCTTGGATGAAGTGGTGAAGGGGAGTTCAGGCAAGTCGGGCTGGCCTTCCTAAGGAAGGGGACTTAGACTGGAGGTGTGGTCCTGCAGCAGACAGTGGGAGCAGAGGGAGGGGCAGGCACCAGTAGATGGCCTTGGTCAAGTTGGCTCACTCCCTGCCTTGGCCCTGGATCAGGATGTGACAGGAGGATCTCAAAGAACGGGGAAATGCAGCTTTGGAGATCCTGTTTAGGACGTCTTTGGTTTGGGGATCTTACCCTCTGAGGCTGAGGGCTGCAGACAGAGGCCGGGGCCAGGATTTGGGGCAGCGAGGCAAGCCTTAAGGATCTTGCTCTGCCTGAGACACAGTCTTAGTGTCACAAGGATCACCAAAGGGATGAGGGCTTCTTGGAAGGGTGGTTTCCTCTCTGCTGAGCCCAGGCTCCTGGCTCTCTCACTCCCTCAGCACAGATGTCAGTCATTCACATTCCTTGGTCATTAATAAAAACTCCGCTGATGTCTACCACGCAGCTACCAGGTGGTGGGAAAGGCACTGTGAATCAGACAGAATCTATGCCCTCGGGACACTCCCAGCCCACTAGGGGAAAAAAAGCAGACAAAGAGAGATGTCATTCCTATAGTGAGCTGTGAAGGGAGAGAATATTCACACAGAGGGGAGGCACAAAGGACAGGGCGGGTGAACCCCAAGAGACATCACTCAGTGCTTAGAAGTGGAAGTCTCCAAGTTCTGGGCAGATCTGGGCTTGAGTGCAGCTCCACCCTAGCAGAGCACTGAGAAGTCATTTAACTAAGCTTGGGATCCCAGAACACACACGCACACACACACACGCACGCACACACGCACGCACGCATGCACACAACCATAATGCTCTTCTCACAAGGTGCTGTGGAGATGAAGAATTCCCATTAAGCGCTCAGCCAGGTGCCTGGTGTTAGTGATGGCTTGTTGCTAAGGTGACAGGGAAGAAGTGTCGAGAGAGAAACAATGCTGCATTCACAGTCTCCATTTGCCCCGAGAAGGAAAAGAAGCTGTCTGGGGAGGAAAATGGAGTCTGAGTGCATGAGATTAGACACATTGGAAATCGCCGTGCTGGAGGAGGGAGCAGAGCCTTTCAGTGGGGAGTACCAGAATTGGCAGGATCTGTCAAGAGACCAGCAGTTCGGATGATAAGCTCGTACTCTGGGGTGTATATCCCTGGAGGGGGTAGGCGCACAATACACGCAGCACGTGGAGACCACAGGTCAATGCCTTCCTCCATCACTCTTCACTTTATATTTTTGAGATAGGGTCTCTCAACCTGGACCTCTCACCAGCCCCGACAGAATGGCTGGCCAGCAAACCCTTAATGTGGGTGGGAACCCACCTTCCAGCTCCTGGATCACAGGTGTGCAATGCCGTGCCTGGGTTTTATGTAAATGCTGAGGAGCAAACTCAGTCCTTGCACTCTTATGGGCTGAGCCTTCTCCCCGACCCCTGATGACTTAGGATTTCAGCAGGCCAGTCGGCTCTGGTCGGGAGTCTGAAAAGACAGAGTCTGAAAGTGGAGCTGGAGGAGACAGAGCTGAGAGCGTCCTCCAGAGCCATTGGGCGGAGAAGTTTGCTATCAGTTCTCACACTTGGTAGCATGTAGATATCATCCACAAATACACTATTCTCTCTTCTTTTAAAATGACATTTCTTTCTTTTCTTTTTTTTTATTGTACAGGTCACAAGTGCCACAGTACACATTAGAGGTCAAAGGACAACTTTCCAGAGCATCAAAGCCTGGTCATCAGGCTTGGTAGCAAGGACACATGGCCTGCTGAGCCATTTCCTGGCCCCTAGTCTTTAGATGCCCGAGTGAAGGACTACAGCAAAAGGAGAGCAAGAGAGATGCATGCTGCACACTCCTGTCATCACTTGCTCAGTCCACTCTTCTCAGAGATGAAAGGGCTCCTGTGCAGCCTTGACCTCAGGACAAGCACCGTGGTTGACCTGACCCACTTAGAGCAAACCAGTTCCCTTTGGTTTGCTTGGTGAGAGGACACAACTGTTTTTTGTTTGTTTGTTTTGCTTTGGTTTTTTTTTTGTGTGTGTGTTTTGTTTTGTTTTTTTGTTTTTTGGTCACCCCTCTTTCCTTCTGCCTTGAGCCACTGGTGTTAAAGTAAGACAACCAGACATGCAGCAGCCGTCACCCTCACGGGCAGAACCCTAACATGCTGAGGATGACAGCGGAGGAGGCTGCCACAGCCCGGATGAGCTGTTTTCAGATTTCTGGTTAGGTAAGTGTCCCGCCAGACTGAGCCATCAGCTAGTTTACTGTTCCTTCCAGCTGAACACGTCCTGACCTGCGCACATGGGCAGAGCTATCCTGTGACACTGCTCACACTGCAGTCCGCCTGGGAAGACCTCAGGAATGGTGCAGTGTGGCCTCTTGTTAGCTGGGGAGGCAGGCTGCTTGGGAAAAGGGCTGAAGGTCTTGAAGTGTTTGAGGCGTGCCTTCTGAGGATCTGAGAAGACAGCTCAAGCCACCATTGTCAAGGCTATCTTTCCAGAGGACTCTGCTCCCACTGCCCGACAAACTCCACCTACGGATTCTGCTGCTCTGCCATGGGAATTCCAGAAGTGTTTCTAGTTAAGAATCTGTAGCTTCAGGCAGAGACAGCCAGATCTGTGAGTTCACAGCCAGCCTGGTCTACAGAGCGAGTTCTGGACAGGAAGAAGACAAACTGTCTCGAAAAAACAAAAATAAAGTTAAAAAAAAAAAAATCTGAAGTCTTTACCAGTGATGGATATTTTTCTGGGTCTGTGTATGTGTGTGTGCGAGTACACACGTGTTGCACAGCACTGTCCTCCGAGCCAAGCAACTGCCATCTTAGAATTAACTGTGCCCCCTGTAAAAGGTCATCCATCCCAGCTGACCTTCTTGACTGTTGATGCACCCTCATGAAATGGTCACAGGAGTCTCACCTGAGTGCTCAGCCACCCCTCTCAACCAGCTGTATTTAATTCTACCCTAATTACAGTGGCCTTGGAGTTTAGGGCGGCGGCAGCAGTGAAAGGGTGCTGGTGTCAGAGGATGTAGACAGGGAAGGACTAGGAAAAGACTCCATTTGTACATCCGGGGGAAACGATCGCCCATAACGGGTCCAGGCTTTCTAGCATGGCTGTTTTAGGGTCACCCCTCACCCACTGCTCTGTAAGGAAGCTTAATAAACCCAATGGTTTCCCCAGGGTGAGCTACGGTGTAACTGAAATTTGGCTCATCACTGGAATCTCGGAAGTAGGGAGGCGGTGCTCGTTGGCCCCCCTCGCTGGGCACACAACAGCATGCTTGTATGAATGTGGGCGCACACTGTGGGCGCATGTGCACATAGGCGCACATGGAGGCTGGAGGTTGACATCAGGGGTCTTTCTTGATGGCTCTCCCTCTTATTCAGTAAGACAGGGTCTCTCCGTTGAACCCAGATCTCGCTAATAGGGCTATTGTGGTAGCCAGCTCACTCCTAGATTCTGTCTCTAGCCTTCCAAGCCATGTAATCAGTAGGCTGGCTGCCAGCTCCAGTGGCATTTATATGGGTTCTGGGCCCTGAACTCAGGTTCTTCATATTTGAGGACCACATGAATACTGAGCCATCACCCTAGAAGGTACCTCTCTGTCCCGCATGGAGAAGGGACTGTGTAGGCCCATCAGTGCCTTACCCTACTGAGGGGTACAGAAGGAAGTGGGGTGTCATGAGCAGACTTGTTCCTGTTCCTTGTATCTTCCAACAAGCCTTGCAGGTAGCTTGCAAACCCCTGGGATCTCTCAAGACTGACCGTCACAGTGATGAAAGTGCTATTACCAGGCCACAGGAAAATCCCGTTCTCTGTCCTGCTGCTGCTCTGGTTAGTTATCCTCTGTACCTGAGGGCACACATTCAGATCCATATTGGCTGCATGTTCAGCCTTCTCTCCTGTCAAGAGTAGAAAATATTTGGGTTGGTGGTATAATGTACTATCTTATCTGATTATTTTAGTATCTGGGTCAAATTTCTCATATATATATATATATATATATATATATATATATATATATATATACATACATACATACATACATATACATACTACTCAAGTTCTCTGACCATTCCATACTTTAGAAAACTTCTGCTCATTTGATCATTTTAGTTGGACTTTAGCCATGTCTTCCAGGGTGTGTGTGTATGTATGTGTGTGTGTATGTGTTTAGTGGGAAAGTGCCTTTGATTGTCTTAACTTTGTGAAGGACAGAAGTCTCCAAGGACCATCCACCAGCCCAGATGAATAATGCATTTTTAGTAGAAGCATCTGAATCCTAACCACAGAGTCTTTCTCCCAGGGGCTCTTGGGCCTCACTTACTCCCTGTTTGTAGAACAGAACGCTGCTTTGGTGGCTCAGGCCATGCCACCATAGCATTAGCAGGACTCAGCACAATGACAGACACCCAGCAGGCCTTCATTCACCTTTAAAGAACGGATAAATGCTGACCTCCAGTTTATTTAGTGGTGTTCAAATCCGCGGTTAGAATTCCTTGCTTCTACTATAGAGTGTATT